ATCTTTTTTAGTCCCATAGAAATTAGATTCTGTAAAATATGTGTTTGTTAATTGTAGTTGTGATGATGATGAGCAATGAACTGTCGGTATCACATTTTGCAGTCACCATTTATTGTAGAGTCCAACTATCTATAGTACTGGCCTTCATCAGGCAATGATTATGAGTTTGAATAATAACGGGTCGTCTTTTCGCTTTTTATGTTTCGGAATGGTTAGCTGCCGCCTCAATGGATTGGTTCTCAGTCATACATCAGTATTTAGGCAGTATTTAGTTTTAGATGCTGAATGTATGACTGACAATCAGTGTTTATCGGACTTTTTCTACCGTCTGATTAGTTCCTGATAACTTAAAAAAGATCACTCTTTCCCTCTCACCAAGGATGCTTTTCAAAACATTTTCGTAACAGGTTTGCAAGCATGTGAGGATGCCTAGACAATAGTAGACATACACGAAGATGCCTCTTCATCTAGATCGTTGTCTTCATGGCGTTCAAAATGTGTGATCTGTTCTGTCGTGCTTTCATCAAAGCTAAAAATAACGAGTTAACAATATTGTACCTTAAGCGGTCAGGTGTGTCAGAACATAACCACGCAAAGTATATTTGGGTCTTTTGAAACTGTTCCAAGGCCGGATATTGTAACGGGATAACTTTTAACATATTCAGTTATACTCAGTGGAGTAAACCTCCGAAATTCCACTCCTCCGTTTAACTAAACCAAATCTTATTTGTCGCTTACAGTCGAAAGCTTTGGCCCAAACTTGTTTCGAAAACTTAAAAAACGATTTAAATTGAGACCTAAAGCTTTTTTAGAATAATTTTTGTGACCACTTCCGCTCGAATTCAAAGAAAATTTAACATTGATACTCCGTAAGAAATAGATTGCCGTAGTGTCAAGGCCCTTGAAGTTAAACGATGCACTGAAAGGAAATATTGCATTTCTGATAACCGTTGAGCAAAACGAAGAGGGTGATATTGCTTTCCCACTGTTTGGAATTTTCTGGTTGATCTTAGACACTCAAGTCTATCAATGATGATTTGTAGTGTTGCTCGTGTATTTGTAAGCCAAACCCTCCAGCTTGGAAAAAGTGGACCTTTTTAGTGATTTTATACCTTTGATACTGAATTAAATAGTCTTAAAACAGTCGTCTTATGTCTTTGCAGTAACATAAAGAAACAATCTAGCCATAGATCAACGTTCAGAGTACGGCTGTAAGGTTTTTTCTCATGCACTCCCGTTAATTACTGATGGGAAGCTTGCAGGGAAGGGTTCAAGTGATAAAAAAACAATTCATTTGACCACCCAGCCTAAGTTTCGCGTACGTTTTCCTGTATTTGTTTATTTAGCTTCAGCAAATGTTAGCGTTAAAAAAAAGCGAACCAATCCTGGGACGATTTATAATGCAAAACATGTTACCTTTTTGCTGTCTTCAGTATTTTTATTAATGATGAGTAAACTTCTTTGTCGACGCGTCTGCATTTAAGATCCGCAACGCCTCTTTCTTTTGATGTCTCCTCTTTCCCCAACATTTCATGGCCTTTTGCCTTTAATTTTACCTTATTTTTGACTTATATTTGCATCATTTTTCTTTCAAATGCTTACTTCGGTTTATGTACGTCACTGTTCGGAAAAGAAATGGTAGATTTTACTCCATTACAAATAGTCTTGAATATTTACGCACTGTTCAGTGCAGTTGTTTGAAACAATGTCGAATAACATTGTCCTGAATAAAATTTCGCTTAATCATCTTTGCGAAGCAGCTCTTTTAAAGTCCTGAAAAAACAGTTGGAAACTTTAAAAATCGGTTTAGTTTGAATATGTCTCATGCAGTCGTGTTCTTGATTAGTCTGTATATCTTTACATCATAAGCTTCATCTTCCATGTACACTTCTGGTTTAAGAAAAGAACAAATAGTACTTTAATTTGATAACTGTAAACATACAAACGTAATCTTAGGCCAAGTACGCCAACTCTTTCCCATTCCCGGTGGCGCAGCTAATAGAGTATGACACCGCGAGATCGGAGCAAAGTGTGGTTAGAACCCGTGGGAAGGAATCACGCTTTTTATGGTTTCATGCCAGTGGCAAATGTTTAAGATATTTCTTTAGTTATGGAAATGGGTTCTTAGCCCACATTTGAACAAGACAGCGAAGTCAAGTTGAACTAAAACAATCCTGCATCACTTTTGGGTAATTTGACCGAAAATCGCTATATAGGCTGGTGATGGGCATGATTATATGACGTTCATTGAAAAGGGGAAGGTTTCGCCTACTCTTCATGTATCGTTAACCAACACTTTTCTACTCGCCTTTTGAAACAAGCATTTCTCAGGCTTGAATAGTAGTTAACTGATATAATCTCTTTTCTCAAAAAGTGCATAAAGTGTACAGGTTGATATTTACTAACATACAACACTGGCTAAACAAAGTCTTGGTCCCAGATAGGTGCAAAAGTAGAGGAATCGACTACGCATTTGCGATTAATAGGTTGTAGATGATACAGGGAACAGATATCTTCAGGGTAAACATAAATTCATTTCTCGTTATCTTTGAAAAACCAACCACGATGGTTTGTGTCATCAAACTATGTTTGCGTTCCCTGTTTTGGAACGTAACAGTTTATGAACAGCCAAGGGAAGCTATAAGTGGACAAACAACCAGTCAGTGGCTGTTGAAATAGCCATAAGGGCATTCAAGAAATTAAAAAATCGTTGGTAAGTAATTGGAAAATAATAATAAATTAAAAAATGATCTGTGAGAAAGAATGAAATTAATACCTTTGCCTTCAAAGAGTGAAACTTTTTAGTTAGAATCCAAGCCAAATCAGTGATGTGAATCTTTTAGGTGGTAGGTTTGCTGTGGTAGTTTACGATAAATGGCCTAACTTCCTTACTTACGGCGCATTATTGCCTGCTGACAATTATGTAATAAATAACAGAGAAATCCAGAATTTAGGATTTTTAACGTTAAAATACTGTAGTCACTGTTGTATTTAAAGAATGCGGTAGTTTTTGCTCAACTTATTTGGCTTCCGGTGCGTGACGAGGCAGGTCTATTCAATGGAAAAGTAATACTTGTGGTGCTAGCGTCATGGAATTATCTGCCAAATGTTGATGCCGTTTGCCCAAAGAAAGTATTGAAGTGTTCACATTCTTTGGATGCTCATAGTTTTGTTTCGGAAAAAGTGACGCAATTCTGCATTTATCAGCACTCACAATCTCGTCATCGAAGAATACCTTTGTCTATTTGTATTTGTTTGACATCTATTTCTGCTACTGACTTCATTTCATTTAGAATCAATTCTTGGATAACTGCACAAAATATCTTGGAATTAACCTTTGCCACAAAAAAAACTCAAGAAATGTAATCAGCTTAATTGTAGAAACCGGTATTTGGAAAAGAAATGTTTCCCTAGAAGCAAACGTAGTATTTACTTCTTGCTGTAAAGTTGAAATGCTAATTAAAAACTCCGCAATCTTGCCATCTGTTACAATCTGAACTATTTTGACGAAAGTATTCATATGATATTACGCAAACAATTATGGATAAATCTTTGCAAAATGCAAATTTTGAACCGGCCCCTGTTCCCCTCATCAGTCATATGAATTTCTTCAATTTTTCCTCCCTGCGATATGTGATATGAAATACGATAAATCTGAAGAGTCATTGTAACACGGCTAAGTTGAGAAAGCGAATGGGGCATGTTTATTTCGCAAAGTTGAAAATTTAAGGTCTTTCAAAAGACGTTAACAGTGAGTAGTTTGATACACGTCATGCTGCACAGCCACCAAGTATTTCACTAACTTTTTAAGCCGTCGACATCATTGTTCACGAAAAGTACTCGCAATTTGGCAGTGAACCGTTTACCTTCTACCTTTCAACTTTTTGTTTTAACAGTCAAGTAATCTGTATTGTCTTTGCATGGTTAATATCCAAAACATAATGAAACCATCGCTTCAAAATTATACGTTACGAGCAAAGTCCACCTTCACATAACATCGAAAGATACTATTGACGTCGTATGCTGATAAATTTTTTCGGTGTCAGCTGAACTTAGCTGTTTTCATTTTAAATACCTCATGAGATATCAATTGACGTGAGTTCACGATTCACCAGAAATCAATACGCGAGCAATATTTGCTTTTGCATTGACGCACTTTGTTTTCTAAATGGTCACGAAGAAAACCTGCTTTAGGGCAAATGTATTTCATCTTTACCCGAACGCGCGGGAAACGAAAACTCTAGCCAAATGGTTGAACGCCAATTTAAGGGTGGCTTTAGTTCGTAATGAGTCTTAATTAGGTAATGAGACAATGTATTTAATTATCAGTGTTCTTGACGAATGTGTTGCATCTTTAGCCCCCCAATCCACGGGAAGTTTCCCAACAAAAGGAACCGTTGTCGAAAAGGTCGATGAAAAGTGGCTCATCTAAGAGCTTCTGTTATGAAGAAACCGTCAGAAACATCTTTATTCCAGAAGCAAAATAAGGAAAAGTTCAAAGCGCTATCGCTCAAGGTGCCCCTGGTCATTTCGCCTGCAACATTAATTCCTAAATAGACTTAAGTCACACAGTGCCTCGATAAAATTAACTTTGAAAATATTTTATTGATTATCGAAGACTCTGCAATCATTTGCCAGTGTCTGAACGTACTTACAAGAATAAGGAATAAATGGGAAATCTCGAAAACCAACGTTGCCGTCGAATGTTCAAATCTTCTTTCATTGTGACTTTTCACTTCTTAGATCTAAATACTAATTCTCCTTAAAGTCCCCTTCCCGTCATTGGTAAGGACTCGACTTAGTCTTAAACCAGACTGTTACCTGATATCTTCGTTGGTCTCATCACCTGTCTGTGGCGTAATGGTGATATTTTTAGCTAAAATTATTAATAGTTGACTAAAGGGAATGAAAGGTTCAACACACTCAAGGAAAATTTGTTTCAATGCGCCATGAAATGCTTAACACATCGTAACACCGAAAAAAAGACATGATCCTAAGATTTAAGTTGTAACAGAGACCGCCCCCGTGGACATTGCGTCATCTGGCCCCATCACCTGGCCCTCTTTTATGGACTCAGTGCAAGCTTCGCATTCTGCTGATGGATTTTCATCCTCCATTCCCGGATCTAGAGAAAGGAAACAAAATAAGTAGGAACGAATGATTAATTTTCTTCTCCTATCTTGATTTGTGTTGTTTTCCATCTTGTATTATATCTGTTCAACCGTTAATTATGTGAAGTTCTCTTTTTTTTCCAACGAAGTTCTTGGAACTTTGTGGAAACAGTTTGTGAACCAGTTTATTTCAGCACATGTTAGATGGCCCTGTGCACTGAGAATTTCGAAACAAATAAGTGTTATGCTCAAGCGGGAGTTTTTTTTTGGCTAAAATTTGCACTCTTAAGACAATCATCAATGTAGTGTCGAAAGTAATGCGCTATTGCATTGGCTTAGCTTTACTTCGCTCTTTTATTGGCTCAAAAAATTCTCTCCAGACCCGCTCTAAGAAACAGATGCTAAACTAAATCCGATCGTGAAAAAGTTTATTTGTCGCTTCTTTGAATTTTCAGTGGCTCCTTGTGATATTTCTATGCTCTGATTGGCTGGCCGCTGTGATTACATCAGTTTCGGTTTATAGACACTCTAACTTATCTTTACCTTACGAACGGGATGGTGACCACTTTTTGGCAGATAGATTAGTTCATCAAGGTACGCCGAAGTTTAAATGTCGTTTATTGAGAAAAAAAATTTGCTACTAAATGAGTTATATTTACCACTTAACAGGCATCTGGGTGTCGTATCTGAATGCATTTGGTAGTGTTACCTGCGAACTTTTTTTTCATCTAAAATTTCACATCAACTCGGATTGGAGGAGATAGATGCCTGAATAAAACTGATTATTTTAAGAGGTATGCATAACCGGCCACTTACCCTCTCTCCACAAGTTCAAGTTGATGGATGGAATGTCATCACAGTGAACCTTTACTGTGCTGCTTTCAAATACACGCCTTTGAAGTTCCTTCACATTATCTGAATTATCACAGATGATTCTTGCAAGGGAACTACCTCTTCTGATAGAATCCAGTTGCCTGCTTGTGAATCCTGTGTAAGAATCACGTCTTTCGTACCAAAAACGATCTCCAAATCGGTATCTTTTGAAACTTCGAGCAATCAGACAAGAGAACGTTTCCCCAAATATAGACCCTTTCTGTGGCCTCTCGCTGACTCCTCCCACATACAAGTCTATGTCTGCAGGATGGTCATAAGACTCTTTAATCTTACCCAGTTGCGCGGGGTCAATGTTGGTTAGTTGTGAAAAATCTGTGACAAGGCCACCGGTTAAGTTTTTATCCAAGTCACAAGCTCGTCTGAATTCTATGTAAGGTGGTAGGGCGTGGTCACGACCACGTTGGATGTTGATTGCCATAAGGTCTCCCACAAAACCCTCGATGGTTGGTCCTTCTATTACGAGACTTTCGCGTACAGCTTCCACAAAGTTCCTACGTGAGGAAACAAAGCAATAACTGTTTTATATAAAACCAAGGAATTTGGTTTAAGGAGGTTAAACTGACGTGGTACATCCCCACGATTCGTTCACTGAGTCCAAGAGGTGTTTGGATTTGAGATATCGGTTTAGTGGAGGTTAAAAAATAAATTGGAAAGTACAGTGAAAAACCTATAATCGAACTGTAATCGAACTTGAGTTTTAGATCCCACTCCCTTCTCCATGGGAAGTATTATTAAGTCGTGTGATTGATGGATAAAGATCTCCTGATATACGTTGGACAAGACAACGTATGCTGGTTGAATGACCCGAAGACAACGATATGGAAGCTGAACTTAGAGCAAAGACAATCAATTTTCTTTTAAGGGAACGTGACTGCTGTTGTTGTGGTTTGGCCTTTGTTTCGAAATTTGGGGCATCTACAAAAATTTCCTTCAAAGAATTGTAAACTTTTTAATGCAATCTGGCCAAAGTCCCTTGCAAAGTGTTGTAAAGATCCATGAGCTATAGGATATGGCGCCATAGATATCCTTTATCGTTAGTATTATCATTATTATGAATCCTTACCTATCAAACTTCTGCGATGGTTCTTTTATTAACCCTAGAGAAATTCCGTCGATACCGTTGTTCCTTAAAGTGTAAAGTGGGTCAGGATTGAAAAATGTTGTGGTATTTATCTCTCCCAGTCGTACAAATGCTTTACTGAACTGTCCAAACGTCTGTCGAATCAAGGAGTGACCCATCCTGAGAGCCGCTGCTGCAAATGCGTTTAAGGTTGTCGCCCTCACATTTGGGTCGTAACCGCTGAAGAACCGGCCAGATGACTCCAGTAAAATGCCCTCGTCGTTTCTCTTTTGGTAACATAATAAATATAATAAACGATGAGATGAATAATAGATTATTAAAACTTCAAATGTAACTTTTGCACTATGAATTGTATTATTATTGACCGTTTTTCGTGATATTGTGTGTACTAACACTTGTTCAAAGGAGGTGTGGTTATCCCAGTCAATACATGTCTAAGTTAATTTACGAGATGAAGATAAGAGTTGATGACTTGGAAAATTTAAATAACCTGGATGACAGGCAGAATATTAAGAATTTAGTTCCAACTAAATCAGCTCCAAGCACAATAGCGCCCACGTTGCTTTTATCCTAATCAAGTCTTGGAGTCAACTACTCGCCCTGACCTATACAGCAGTAAGGTTCTACACGTTAGAACAGAGCGTAATTCAATCCACAGTGAATATGTGTAGATAATTGTTGCAACAGAATGTTATTTCAAATTGGTACTCTCTAGTTTCTTCTCAGTGCATTTTGTGAAGAACGACGTTGAAATGATGCAGACGAGGCCAGGAGGTGAACCGATGTACTCTTGCAGTAACACTGGAAGTATAAGAGGGACGTAGTAGTCTTATAGCTTATATATTGGCTTCGCAACTCACTATCTATTCTTTGATAGGTAGTAAGTAAACTAAATAGTCTATCATTGACTATCAATAAAAACATGCGCCTTCCTTGTTGTTAAGTTGTGAACGACAAGTAGTTTTATGCCAAAACAATTAAACCATTCGTTCTCGATTTCCATAAATAATCACGCGATTGAAACTCGAGCTCTTAATCGAATTGTCCAGTAGAACATTTTGGATAAATCAATAATAATAATTAGAGTTCTTAAAAACCGCATTCTACATATAAATGTCTCGATGCTTTTTAAAACTAAAAAAAAGAGCTCTCATGAAACAGGTACGTTTCCAACGCCTTTTTAAAACTATCAACAGTTAATTTGTCTAATGGCAAGCGGTAGCTGATTCCATAACTTCGGAACAATTGCCTCAAAAGATCTATCTCCGTTAGTAACTGTAGTAGTCTTAGGGGTAGTCTTAAGGATAACTAGAAGGTTGGAATCTCTAGAAAGAAAGAGAGCGACAGGGAGTGTAATGATGAAACAGTTCATTAATATACACCGGGGCAAGGCCATTAAAAGATATGTACGTAATCGAAAGTAACTTAAAAATTATTCTGTCATTAACAGGAAGCCAGTGCAAAAATTTTTAAAACAGGAGTAATGTGATCAGTCCTCTTCATGCACACAGTTAATCTTGCCGCGGTATTCTGTAATCTCTGAAGTTTCTCAATTTCACTGGAGGGAATTCCATAGAGCAAACCATTACAATAATCCAATTTCGATGAAACGAAGGCATGAACATTGCGCCCAGTATCCGTTTGCGAAAGATAATTTCTGATTCTGCCTATAGAATGAAACGAACGCGACAGGTGTTGTTGACAAGGGGAACAAGGGTGAGGTGTGAATCAAGTGTGACTCCAAGGTCTGTGACAACACTAGTTGGCTTAACGTAATGATCACTGACTTTAATCGAAGCAATCGGTGCAGCAGGTGAAAAACGCGAAGTATCATAAAGTATCATGCATTTCATAAATAAATCGATCCTCACCAATTTTTTAGAAGGAAACAGAACAGGAAGCCATTCGTTGTATGTAATGTGCTGTATTTGACCAATCACTATTTTTCGTGCCTCCTGAAAAAGCTTTTCATCCTGCCATATTGGATTCAGATAATGAAGGAACTGTGCAATGCGATTATGTTCACGCACAAAAAGGGTGTGCATTACCATAAGCGCTGAAATATAAGGAAAAGAGAACGGGATTTAGTTATTTTCTGTTAAACTTTGCCCTTCATGATTATTTGATTTTTCATGAGCTAGGTGTTACTCTCTTCGTTCAAACTGAATTCATAATATTTACGGGGTTGTTGTGTTCCTTAATAAAAACGATTACTGAAGATGGGGAATTAAAAGTTGCATGCATATAAGAGATACAAGCTTAAAAGATTCTCTGTTTTTATCCCTATGCTTATTGGCAAATATCTATTCAGTCTCGCTTACGACCACAACAGAATTTGTGTAAATAAGAGAGACGTCCTCCTGATGGATAGCTGGAGATATATTGTCCCACACAAATTCTTACCGGGATTTTCATTGACTCTCCTAAAATCACCAGCTAGGAAACAAGGCCTCACTGCAGGCCTCGGTGATTTACAAAAGGATTCTGGGCTAGCTTCAGGTAAAATTGGCATCCTGTCGGAGCGTCTCACTGGCAGTGGGAGAACGCGTAAAGCTCCAGTATTTGCTATTTTGTCACGGAGGCTCTCTGCCTCTTCACAATTAGCTCCATAAACCATCGAAGCATCAATGTAGGATGAAACTAAGTTAACCTGAAAAAGAACGAACGAGTATTTTGTCGGTTTCTTTTGCTAAATCGAAGTAGTGTTTATTTCAAAGGGTAGCACTTCCCCCGTGATTGATCAATACTGGGACCTCCAATTCTATTTGTACTTCGCGTTATGTGCTCAACTGAAATTCTTTTCGTTTCTTCAAAGTTGCGCATAAATTCAAAGTTTCATCAAACTTTTCTCTCTCCTGCCCCGCATTGTTATGTCACATAAGAAAATATAACTTTTCTCACTGGATTCGTTTGTTTATAAAAGATAAATGTTAACTGCAATGCGGATGAAAATGACGCTTAAGACTGCAGGAATCTCTCACCTGTTCACGATCCCTCAATGCTGATCGTGATAGGGGAATGCATTGTGCAGTTACATTGTTTGCCAGTCGATCATCGGGGTTGTTCTGTGAGATCGGTATGCTTATACATCCGGGAATGTTGGTGGGACATTGTTCGTTGTTGGTCCCGCATCCCGCAGTCTCGTTGGACTCAGTTAACGTGATGTCATGATCTATAAATTGACCCCACGTCATGGTCACGTGAGTGAAAGGTGGAGGTTTTCCACCTACATCTTCAGACGTACTCTTGAACACGTTTTTACTGATTGTTCGCGCGTTCTTCAGTGGAGCACCAGATGAAGACATGAGTCTAGGTCCATCTCCGTTCTGAAAGGCTGGTGGGAGGAAGCGGTCGAATCCAGTCTCGGCAGAGCCCTCGGTTATGTTGCACAGATTGTTGCATGTCCCGTCGAACGTGCGGTAACGGCGCCTGATACAGTTTAGACGAAGGTACAGAGGTATCGGTTGACACATGCGGTCAACCCTTAAAAATGTATCGGAATTGTCAGGTGTTCCACCAACGGAAGGCCCGCTTTGGAAGAGACATACCCCCAGCACTAAGAGAAGGCTACAAGATTGAGAGAATCGTTAATCGAAACAAAAGGAAGCTATGAGTTTTTAACAATTTTAATTAATACTTATGTCGCAGCCTCACTGCAATTTTAATTCACCAAATTCATGGAATCCAAGAATTAAATCTCATATTTGATTGCACCTCAAGGGTGTATGGTTCTTACAAGTAACCAAGTATTAAAAAAAAATCATATTTAAAAGGCAGTCCCAAAATAGATAGGTTTAAGTTTAAAAATTAGCTACCAATACCTTAATGTCAACATTTCTAGCTGTTTCAGTGCTTTCACTGCTTATGTGTCTATGGAAGAAAAAAAAAACATCCAAGAGTTAGGCTGCCCTGAAATAGTATGAGCAGCGAGACGGTGAGGTTTTTCAAGACAAGTGTTTATGCCATTGTCAAGTTTAAGTGAAGATTCTTCTCAAATCTGCTCCCACTTAGCACACAAAAAACTTCAAGAGAGAGAATGATATGTGAGTACTCGAATAGACATAATCTTGCATTCCATTACTGAGTAAATAGTTCGGATCCTTTTTTTAGCTGATTGCGTTGACAAAATATTGAACAACTTTACAAAGGAGTAGGCTAAAAGATGCGAACAATTTTCGCGCGGTACTGATTTCGGTCTCTTTTGCAAAGAAAAACGGTAGAGTTACGAAAAAATGGGACAAACACCCTGATCAAGGCTAAATAAACTGTAGGAACCTACCTCGAAAAAAGGTAATTTATCGATGCCAATTATAAAACAGTATGCTCCATTGTAATTTCAAGACAAACGAATCAAGTTTGTTATCAGCAACCACAGGCTCAAAAATTGCTTCGAAAACATTAAGCATTCATTGGGAACAAGCAAGGCGAAGTAGGATAGGTTTCATTTTTCATTATTGTACATGACTTCAAATAAGAAAATCCATTTACCTTATCCTTGTAGCTGGACTTGAATTGAAAATGTTTGATTGACCTCCAAGCAAATCAAATCGTGGTTTTTGAGAACCTATCTGGTATGAAAGAGCTTCCCACCTTCTGTCCTTTTAAACATCTGCTTTTTGCTCATTATCATTTGTGCAGCCAAAGCACAATACACTGCTCTCACTAATTATTAGGGACACATAAATGATTTGGCATCTAATATCCTCTGAGTAATGAGATGATCATTAAGTACTGGTTTCTTGAATCAAGAGTTCATATCAAGGGTCCAATACTTTGTTTATTGTACTCTTTCGTCACAGTGAAAAACACTGTTCAGAGTTGTGGAAAAAATTTTTTTTCTGGACAAAAATATCTTGATCCTGTGTCATAAATTTTCTAATTTTTTTTTTCTGTGTGCATAATTGGGCTTAAGTCAAAAGTTGAATTTGACAAAAATCCAGGAAGGAAGTTGTTAAAACAATTTTCGCTGAGGAAGTTGGAGAAACGGTACAAATGACAACTAATAAACAGGATGTTTCTTCATGATATGAGCACAAAGGCGCCTTCAGTTGGCTTACTTGTGCTGAAGGGCGAGAAACGTTAATGACGAAAGATTTAAAGAGATGCAAAATCAGCATAAGCGAGCTCTGTAGAGAAACCTGACTCAGCCAATACATTTTTGGTTTCTTTTTTTCCTTACCAGTGGTCATTAAAGAAACCTGACGCAGCCAATAAATTTTTGTTTTTATTTTTTTCCTACCAGTGGTCATATAATGAAGTTGAATTTACAGCTGTCAAATAAGTTTCTTTCATCTAAGTATTACTCTGATTAATTTATTTTAAAGGAACATTTTTTCTTATTCCACTAAAGATGTACTCACAAAATAAAAACAAACAAATGAACTCTACCAAGAGGTAAAGCTGTTTCATAGCAGATTAATCTCAGCAGGTGTATAATATTGCAAAATATGAGTTTAGTAATTCAGTAGTCAGCAATGCGTTGGTTTAAGAAAATTAGACCACGTCATGGGGTATATTTTCCAAGCCGTGGCAACCAGTGTTATCGTTTGATTTGGGGTATTTATTGTTTGCTTGATGTCTTGATTTGATAACCACCTAAAGGGACAGGGTTATCAATCTAAATGAAAGTTTTAAAATACGTGTACGTCAGTTGTTAATGTCTAGAAAAACTGCAAACGTGCTTTTTGCAGTTCTTTTAAAAATTTTTTTATTACATATTTATTATTGTTTTACCGTCATATTGATTGCTTGAGTCTTTAATTTCACTGTTTTGACGTCACCGCCACCGAAAAAACTGGCAATTTGATAGGCACCAAATAGACTAGAAAATCAAATTCTACGTCTATATTAAAAAATAATGTTATCACTTTTCGGCAAATGCATTTCCTTGAAAATATCTAGTGAGAGATATAGGTCGGTTTTTCATGGCTCATTGACTAAATTGCACGAACGATTTATGTCAATTATCGACAAAGTGATTTCATTTCATAATAGTTGGCAACCTCTCCCAAACTTGTTTCACAAAGTAGTATGGGAATACCATCAGAGTAAATAAGTTTCCTTGTATTCTTTGACTCTTTAATCCTTGTTTTTTTTTTCTTACATACCTCATTGAGTTGAATCTTTGTAGCTTTAACTCTATCGTGACTTTACATCTGGCACTGTATCTGAGGTTATTGCGATATTGGAATTTATAAACAAATGCCTAATATTAAGCAAATTCTAGTGATGTTTAAAGAACTTCTTGAATTTGTCTCAAATGCCATTGTTTTGCTGAAAAAGTATCTCGTGATACATGACAAAACAGAATATTAAGTTAAGTTTGTGATATAATGGGAAAAAACTTTCAGGGTTGAATTTGAAAGACACTTTGTGACATATTAACCAACTTATTTGCGAAAATTGCATCAGTTTACAGTAAAGATACACTAATCTAATAATGATCGGACCAGATGGAATCGTTACGCAATGAAGACTTTCGTTTCGTTTTGGTTGGCAGAAGACAATTGGTTCTTCCAACAATCAATAATTCTCAGGACGATCAACTGTATTTGATTCGATGACCACTTGATGTGACTACTCTTTTTGAAGTATTCATTACTGGATCTCATCAGAAAAGAAGAACTGTTTTGATCTTGACTTAAGATCCCTTTCAAGCTGTAATTGTAATTTCCGACCGGCCTTTGTAATTCCAACGTACCAAGACCAATTTCTCGCATAGATGAAAAACGCACAGTTTTTCTGTTTGTTAACCTTTGTACTCTACTCTCGTATTTATATTTGCGGGTGTTTGCCATGTTTAAAATTAGGTCAGTTGACGAATGTTCACTGAGGGTGTTTTTTTCAATGTAGGAGGGAAGAGGAGGGACAAATTACATTCATTGCCAATTATAGATGCGAGGGCAAGTATAGATGCAAAATACCCCTAGATTCGTTGCGAAGCTCGTAACAACTGTTTTACGAAAACCCTCGTTATGATTACTACTGATAAACGGGCTGACAAACAGACAAATTAAACTAAGAGGGTAATGAATGTGCTGTGAAGCGCGACCGTCGATAAAGCTCGTGTACATGTTAGGCCAAGAAATTAGCTAAACCAATATAAAAGAAACTTAGGAGGCGTTATTAAACAATATACACCTTTAAGCCTACGGCTCTCTGGCACCTTCTGTCGCTTTATTTCTGACTTCTGTTTAAAGGTACCGAAATAACCGCAGGATTAACAGTGCATGATTTGATTTTTCGATTCATTTTTGTATTTATTTATTTTTTTATACAAATATACTTCTCACAGCCGTTCTTCTATAAGTGGAGTTTTACTATCAAAAGTGAGGCAAAGTTTTGGGAAATGTTTACAACTGTAATTGACATTGACGCCAGACGAAAGTGCCGCTTAAAATGTTTCAACAACGCATACTAAAGCTATGTTAAAAATGAAGTCAAGGTAGAAGGTTAACTAAGTTAACTTTTAAGATATCTTATCCCTAAGGCTTGAATGTACACAGATGGAATGTTGGTCGAACCTACCGTGGGTGTATGCGAGACAATTTGATGCGCACGTGCAAAGATCACCACAACTGTGACCTTAATGTTAATAATTCAACGTGATGTTTAATCAATACGACATGGCGAGATAAATGAACCAACGCAAAGCATCTCAATTAAACGGACACACAGCAATAGAATACTCGGCGTAACGGGAAGTTTTTGCTTACGAGAACGTTTCTCTTGGGTGACCACAAGCAGTATTATTAAAAAAAAAACTATTGTTCACTTCATTTAACGGCTGGCCGGCCATATGATTGTTAACCTTTCAATCTAAGGTTTCTTTCACCCTAAGACGGATGAAAAATGCGTTTTCACTCTGACAACGCAAAGAACCTTTCCCGTCCTCCTAGTAAAACGGAGAAATCTTTTCCGTCTAGACCTCAAAGATTTGTGACTTGTGTATGTACCTCAAGAAATTGACTTCTCCAACTGTGTGCGGTTAAGTAAGGAAAAAAGAGAGGAAAGAAACGGACGCAAAAATTCTGCGTCACTTGTGCAACGCGCATGTGCACCTCCACTTTCAAGCCTCGAGGATGAGTCAGTACATAGCTTGTACGAGAATTCTAATGGGATCTTGTAGAGGCGACGGTAAGCAGAGCTGTAAGCTTACCAGATAGTCTGTGAAGACAGCTTCGATTGTAATAAATTGCTATATACGTTTTTTCAGCCAACGACGGTAAATTAAATCCACAAAATTTAGACCACAATGGAAATTCATTCCAGCATCCGCGCAAGCACCCTTGCATCGGCAAACTTACAGGGTTTAATACAACCAGGTGTTACTACATTCGAGAGACTAAAATTTTAGATTTGAACAGTGAGATGTAACCATTATCATCCTCAGACTATCGTTTTCTTTTCCAGGCAACTCTCTACACAAACAAATGTTAAACACTGCAAATAATGTAATTCATTTTAATCAAGCACAGAAACGTGAACTAGTTTCTAAGAATTTCGATATTTTCTATGGCACCTAGAGGGTCGTTTTTGAATAGCATAAAGTGTCCTTGTATCTGCGCGATGCTTCTTCCCTGCTTCAATCTAAATACTTTGTCCGCGAACTCCTCTGCGCAAGAAGGAATCTGGTCGGGATAAAAGCGAGTGTACATCTTTTGTAACTGAGATTTGGAAGCGAGGCCAATCTCCTGTTTGACATCCACCCTGCCTGGTCGTATGAGGGCTGGATCAAGCCTGTCCAGGTGATTAGTAGTCATGAAAACAATGCGTTCTTCAGATGATGCCACGCCATCCAAGGTGTTCAGAAGACCACTAAAAGTCACCTGAAGAAAAGTTAACAAGGAAAAGTAACTCAGATCATCCCTCTCCCAAACATCGGTTCACAGAAAGAGGTTGAAGTTTCTTTAAACGCCAAAATATTCCAGATGTTTACAAGAAGAGTATGTGAAAAAATCCAGACCCTTAAAAAGTTTTAAAATAAATATTTAAACCCCCTGAAATTGCTATGCAACTAATGCTCACAACTCTATTACCTGCAGGTTAAACAAACTCATCAGCTTAAGATTTACCCTTTGATAAAATTAATATGTACAATTCTCTTGAAAAATTTATAAAGAAATGAACAGTGTGGCTGTCAGAAGGACAATTATTGGCAGACCTTTGGTACCAGTGCTCCAATGTTTCAATAAACCTTGTCATTTAAGGAAACTGATTTCTTTTTTTACAGAAGAGGTTATAAACATTGGGTCAAAGGAATAAGTCAAAAAAATCTTACCAAAATTTAGTCCACAGCAACAGTCATCTTCATGCAATAACCCATCATTGAGTGTTTGTGCAAGCATAGCTCACACTCGTAATACTTTACAGAACCCCTTACATAAGATTTTCAGGAAAATCAGTGCAATCTTTTCCATACCCTGTTTACGTAACCACTTGCTCTCCCTTCTTCCTTCTCATCAGTTCTCTTTACAAAGGCAGCATCAATATCCTCTAACAGAATAATACTTTGCTGGGGTGCTACACTCATTAAATGGTTTAGGCGGTCATCTGACAGACTGCGATCACTTAAGTTCATGACACATATGCTGTAGTCCAGAGCTCCTGCTAGTGCTTGTCTGATAGTTGAAAAAATGTTACATTAATTGGCTGATGATTATTTCAGTTATTACAGAAACAGAGCAACAATGAACTGTTGGTAAAAATACATGAGAACAGTACAGTTGTTTCCATAACTTGTTCAGATGCTTCACCAGGAGAAGTTTTACATAAAATATAGAATGAAAAGAAAAAATCCAGGGACCTGATTCATTAACCCTTTCACCTCTGTGAGTGACTAGCATCTGATTTCTCCTCACAACATCACCCCCAAAATCACAGATAAAGGTCACAAGAGAAAAGGAAATGATCACAACTGATATAAGCTCTAGATTGTTAAACAAATTCTCCTTGTCAGCACTTTGGGAAATGTATCAAGAACAGTATGGAGAATATGTCAACTGATGTTAGGGTGTAAAGGGTTAAAGATCAAAGCCAAGGCCCACAGAATGGGGAAAAGAGTAACACCATTTAGTCTAGATTTGCAGCCTCAATGACTAAAATCTTAGCAGGCCAATCTTTAAGATTTTGCACAATTACATTTGTATGTACTGCAATCTTGCCTGATAAATTCAACATGCTTTAATGCTGGAGCAAAATTTTTACATTTGGCTCCCTCGACAATTCCCCATGTTTTGGGCAAAAAAAAAAAATTATGATGATCTTAGTCAGTAGAGGTGATGGTTAGGAAAGCTGGTAGAAATCAAACATGAAAACTAAGTTGCAGCACTTTAAGTTAAGGGCCGTCTCGACGGTGCACAAAAAAAAACCTAAATTAACCTATTACATGTATGAAGAACATACATGTAATTCACAACAAGTTACCTCTATTAACATTTATTTAAATATTACAACTTTGACTCTGGGGTGTTGATGCGTTTTAGCCAGATATAACAAAAATTAAGTTCCTTTTCAAATATTTAATCTGAACATAAAGTTGTATGTACGTGTCAAGTTAAATCCATGAAGTTGTGGCTGCATGCATTTTTACACAGTACACTTAAAGACAAGAAATAGTTTTATATATATGATATAATTCAAAAGCACAACATACATAAAGCTGCTTTTCCCACATCCAGGAGGCCCATACAACAAATATCCTCTTCGGTATGGAATACCTAAAAAAATTTTAAAAATACATGTATTAACATGTCCCCAAAACAATTTTTGTTAACAGTGAGAGGCATAGTTTTCAAGTCCAGTAACCTTCAATGCCAGAACTTATTCTACTTTAGGATTTCTTGACAGTTTTAAGCTCATAGGTGGAGAGAGGTATTGTGAGACTTAATTATCTTGCCTAAAAAACACAAGACAATCAACCTGCTGGCACTTGACTCATACTTCTAAACCTTAAGTTCAGTCAGCAAGCCATCATGCCTCCACACTTCCACATTCCCCACCCCCCTCCCTCCCCCATCTCTTATCGGAACATAACATTTGCATAATACAGACTATTGAAACTGTACTGATGTACTGCCCCACAAGGAAACAGTATAAAACTAGCAGCAAGCAAGCCTGTTTACTGTAAGGAATCAGCATTGTTATATTTGTAAACTGGGAATGTTCTTAGTCCTCAACGTACTCAGTTTATCACCAAGACAATACCTCTGTCTATGTACCACTTGGCAGATGCAATGAATTCTTTAACATCAGCCAAAATTTTCTGAGAGACACCATCATCCAGAATCACAGAATCCAGCGGTCTCTTTCTCCTTGGAAAACCAAACTGTCTCCAGTCGGCACCCATCGCTGTGTACATAACAGTTTTTCCTTCTTGTTTTTCAAGTGCCATTTGCCTTGCCTCGCTCAAGATATCGAAAAACAACTGTTTGTTTGTTGCAAGAGATGTGAGTGTTACAGTCTCCCATGGCGCCCCCGTGGTTAGATCAACCATCTTCTCTCTTGATCGCTCTACACGAACGAAGCTGTTTTTGTACTTGAAGAAATGAACCCCAGGACAAGGCGAGAAGTCGAATCGCGTGTTTATTTTCCCTGTTTCGTGTTGTTGAAAAGTTGTCTCTACACTGAGATGCTGGGCTCTTTGACCCTGAGCGGCGATCCACTGTAGAACCCAGTGGTAACTCTTGTCTTTGCTTGGAACTTCAAGAGTAATGATCGCGTATCGTCGGAAGGCAGTGAAAGCAAACTGACCTCCCTTTCGTAACACTGCAAGCCCTGCACCCACGCCAACTAGTCCAAATCCGGCTGAAAAGTACTGATTGCTTCCTAAAGAAGCAATCATCTCGGAGAGAGGCATTTCTAAGGTAGTGGGATGATTTGTAACTCAAAGATGTAAAATATTACAATTTTCCTCAATTTAAGCCGCCATGTGCAATTTTTACTGAGCCCACAGTACATAGCCCCGCGATGTATATCATATGAATGTAAGTACGTTTTGTTTATAACTTTAAGTGTATCTTGTTTATTCTAAGTCTGCCATAAATTCGTTGGGATGCACGCAGATAACTGTGTCAACAAACTTCTTCTCGTGAGACGTCACCTAGTTAAACCTGCCTCTCCAAACAATTGATCGTTTCTCTCGAGGGTATTTTAGTACGTTCATCTCTTCCCTCCCCTCCTCTACAAACACATACAGTGTTTACGCCTGCAGTGTTTACGAAACATTTGCCTCCTCTTATAAGTCTTATTGCTAGGCCAGCTTGGTTCTCCTCTAACAAGTGATTACGTTAAGCGTTTTAGGGTGAGGAAATATTCTTAAGCGTCTCCTTATGAGGCGTTTTTTGAGGTGCGTGACATTCCAAAGAACGGCTGCAAAGGAAACGACTCAGCCTTTGGATGTGTCAAGTAGTCTCGTGCGGATAAATGTCTGGTATCGTCATGCAATACATTCTCCATTCGAAGTAAATGAACGCGCTGCGTGACCTGACCAAACAACAGCTGCGCAGCTACCAAAGACTACCAACTAGGCAGACGTCACGTTATGAAATCACTTTGCACCGATGTACCAAATAAGCAGCCGCATGCGTTGGGTGTCAAGTATGTGACGAGAGACACTTAGGTGACATCACCATCAAAACTTAAGAATAATTTCATACAGCTTTCTAAAACACCAACTTGGTATCGTTTCAGCGATTTAAAGTTTCAATCACAGTACATTCAAGTTTTGTTTGGAGACTTAAAAAAAAAAAGAAGCAACTATATGTCTTGTGTAAGTGAATTTTAGCTCATTATTGGATGACATATTATCGCACTTGTTTTGTAACTGAACACCTTTGAGTCAGCTCAATAATACAATGACCCTCAGAAAGGGAGATCTTCTAGAATATTGTACTTTTATTTCTCGTCATGAAGAGAGAAACTGATCGTGACGCACGTTCATCAATCTGCCATTGGTTGACATTCATCAGCTTTGGGATTTTGTTTACCTCGGTTGCTTTTCTCTCATTGAATGTCTACAATCTTCGCAGGGAAATCGACAAAGTGAAGTCAGAGATTCGTCCCTCAGTGTTGAGGAATGATAAAGGAGCATCACGGTTGTACGATGATTACATCGTCAGATCTCGATTTGTTCGTCAGATTGAACCAGGTCCAGACGAAATTGAACCAGGACCAGGTGAAGGAAATCCATCCCAAGATGCTGGTCCGGAGCTGCATCAAAACAGTTTCGCCAAACTGAACTGCACTCGGGTAAGCATAACGAAAAAAGGCCTTTATTCTCTCGTCAGTTTGATAATTGAACGGGAATCTGATATTTGCGTCTATCTTAGGAGGCTAAACTGTCAAAATCTTTAAGTTGAATATGTCTTTACCTCAGTTAAATCAGCCGTTTCATTTTGTAGCAAATGTGGTTGTGTGTATGTCTTACTTTCGTCTGCCAGACATTCTGCCCAAGTTTGCTGCTTCTTTGCTCTTGTGCGTGAGCTCCAGACTCTTGGAGCTGTCACAGTCAGGTCAGTACCCTCTATTCCTTACAGGACTTCCCGTCAGGAGAAGAGAATAAATAAAATTTCTATATTTTTCAGGATGCGGAAGGATATAGCATTTGCACCCTCGGTGAGGCACTTATTTTTATTTAATTTTTACATGAATAGGTAGGGAAGGCGGGGGGGGGGGGGGAGGGACTAAAGGTTGAGTTTTTTGTTGGAGATGGGTTCGGCGAGGTTTTTGTCTCTTTTTCCATTTTGTAGTTCTCCTTTTCAAGTAAGTTTGCTACTCATATCAGCAAGTAGGTTTCTTAAAGACCATGAACATAATTCGCCATTAATTCGATTTTGGTAAAAGTAGGCAGGGACTGGAGGTAGGATATTCTTCCCTCGTATGACAATGAAGGATTCAAAGGGGAGGGGGGGGTCCTCCAGACCTGTGAGCTGTGAGTTTTTTTACTGCCTGTGTAACATATACATTTACGGGGAGGAGAAATTCACGGCATTCGTTGTTACTTATGGGAGCAAAAGGGTTGAAAATGTAGGTCGCAGAAATAACAGACTTCGAGTAACGTTGGTTACCATTTCTCTTACTGAACCTCCTTACTGATTTTGCTACAGTGGCACTATTGGCACTAAGCTGGTGATAAGATAGTAGTGTGAACTCCGGTTGTTGCTGTTTATTATTTACAGTCAACGGTAGTCTCCTTGGAACTCCTGGCGCCCGTCACGAGGTACAAAGACACGTGGAGTCTTACCTCAATCAATCTGGCGCGAATTTTCTCGGAACTTCAGCCGCTCAGCAAGTGGTACAGGACTATTTCGTGTCTTACTTCAACACCTCCGGCGGAAGTTTGTTGAGAAATACTGGCGCTCAGAATGTGGTCCAGGAATATGTTGAATCCTATTTCAACATTTCAGGCGGAAATCTTCTTAGAACTTCTGGACATCAGCAAGTGGTGGAGGAGTATGTGGAGACTTATTTCAACGTATCTGGTGTAAATCTCCTTAGAACATCTGCCGCTCAGCAGGAGATACAGGGATATGTTGAATCTCACGTGAACCAAACATATGGTAAAAGAACTAATGGAATATCCCATCTCCTATTATATTATATGATAAGTGCACTTACTTCCGTGTTATGATAGTCCTACTGTGTCACGCAATAGTTCACAAATACGGAGTGTTGAGCGGAAGGGTGTGAGGTCGTAAGGGTAAGAATCAAGCTTACTGAAGGCTGTTATTGGGAATTCGTAACAAACAGCGACGTTGAGAAGGACCTAATTCTCAGCTTACCTATCACTCCTGTATGGTTGATTTTAAACGAAGATTTCAAAGACTGATAAGGAAACTTGCAAAACCTTGCTGCTACTCTAAGATCACCTCTCACAGCGACCCTTCCCCGAGAAAAAGGAAAATAAAAAAAAATAAAAGAGGTGAAGAATGAGAGGATTTTAGGAACGCAATTAATTGGCAGAATAACTCTCCAGTAAGGCTGTGATTTGTACTTCACCCAGTTTGTCTCTGTGAGATTCTTATACCAAACGTTTGAAGCTTTGGAAGACTCGTTTTTTTCCGTTTGTGTATGTTGGTTTAACTGTGTTATCGTTGCTGTTTTGTATTCGTTTCCAGGACCTACTCTTTCTCAGTGGACCGGTGATGAGCTGGACAGCAGATTTCGGAGACTCATCAATATCCATTTCAGCAATACCTCTTTCGGTGAGTTATAGACGAAGTACTAAATATAGATTTTCTAACTTGCTACTCAAAATACCCTCAAAATGGCGACGAATTTGAATTTTTCAATATGAAATCTTTTTACTTGGCGGAAACATTTTGAACACAAATTAGGTAAATAAGATTATCTTTTTCATTAGATTTTCCATAATCATAAAGAAAAAATTTAGTACCATTTTCCAACGTTATTTCCAGAAAAAAAATCGCACAGTTATTTGGAAACCGTTGTCTTTTTCATGATTTGCAATTCCTTTGTCTTTGTTGTAGGACTCGGTAGTTTTGGAGGAAATTACACTGGATTAACTGGTTTTAATTTTACTGGCAGTGGATTCGGTGGTAATTTTACAGGAATAGGATCTGGCGGAACCGGGAGTGGATTGGGCGGGAGTTTCTCAGGCGTGGAAGGAAGCCTTCGTCTTATTGAGCAGTATGTTGGTTCCTACGCGTTGAAAACGTTTGGTGAGTGAACAATTTCTCAGTCAGAAATACTTAACAGGGGGTAACAACTAAAGTAAAACTCGGTTTTACATGTAAATTATTTCTTTGAGGTCCAAAAAAATTATTCAGGTGAAAGTGACATATAAGGTATGATGCCAAATTTGACGCTTCTCTTTGAATTCATGCAGGTGCATCATCGTCAAAATTATTTTTAGTCAATATTTAGCTGTGAGGTCTAATCGCTCACCTACAACTTGGCAGCTTCCGGGAAAAGAGGAGTCTGTTAATGAAAGATAAAATGAGAGGATTGAAATGGAACGTGATATTATTCGCTTTGTCATCCTCTATAGAATCTTAAATAATCATTTCTGATGGTAGCTGATTGGAGTTTTTGCCACCTTACTAGATTCAACTTAAAATAATGCTATCGGTTAATAGCCAAAATAGGTTTCTAAGTACTACATGCAATTAAAATCGTCCTCAAAATACCTAATTTTGTGTTTATTTGATTGGTTACTGAAAAAAAGCTTCTAAAATTGATTTCTTGTCCTTGTTTTGATCATCATAGGTCCGTCGTTCCTTCCTGGCGCAGAAATTGAACTAGAGCCGGGCCAGACAGTGCTGGATGCTTACTTGGACCAAGCTGTTGGAGAGGCAGTCCAGTCACAGTTAGGGGGTGGGGGTGGAACAGGAGGTAGTAATGGTGGTGGTGCAGTTGGAGGAGGAACTGGGGGCGGTGGTAGCGTTGGGGGTGGTGGTGGGAGCGAGGTAGGCCCTGATGAAGGAGGTGTAGGTGAGTAAGATGTTTTTTTTTTTGGGGGGGGGGTTACTCTATGCAATTTAGGTGATTTTTAGTACCTTCGATTTTCCTCAAGGTCTAGCCTGCTTTAGTAAAAAAATGACCCGTCTATCTTTGCAGGCCCTGTGGATGGAGGAGTGACGAGCGGAGAAATGAATCAAACAATCCAGCAGTATATCGGATCATTTGCGCAGGCGTCTTTTGGTAAGATTTTCTGTCAGCTCGATATATCTCCGCTCTTCAAGGATCTTAGTCACAGTCATCATACATGATTATGTCAACTGATAAACGCAAGAGATTCTATTCTCTTGGTAAACGTTGACGAGTACAACGTCACGCTGGTACAGCCGGATCCGTTCAACCCTTTAACTCCCAAGATTTGATTGGTAATTCTCCCCTCTGGCTGCAACACATATCCTTGTAAATTAGTTATGAGAATTTGGTGTTAGATCAAGAAAACAACTTCGACCTGATAAGTTTGAATATTCTCACTAGCTGTTTGCTGGATAATGTGAGGATATTATAAGGAGAAATTTCATGTTGATTTATTCTGGGAGTTAAAGGGTTAAGTGTACAAGAACGCACTGGCTCCTTTGTAACTCCCTGAAGTTTGATTTACCCGCGCCACTGAAAGGTCCTCTGAAGTAACAAACATTAAATAAACGAATATCTATCTTTTCATCACTGAACTAAAACATATTGATGCAGGTCATGAGTATCAGTCGAGAATTGAATTCTATGTTGGTGAAGTGTCGAAGTTCTCGTTTCCTTCAATATGGTATTTTTATTAGTTCCTTTGCCAAAATTAACTTTCAGAAGGTTTATAAGATAAGAACCCTTCATCACTGATTGCAGGTCCCTCGTTTGTACCTGGCGCTTCAGGACCTGGCGATAAGACTCCACTGGAGATGTTTGTAGACGATTCTGTTTCGCGGTCTTTGATGAAGTTTTTTGAAGACAAAGGGGACTCTGGTAAGCCTTAAACTACCCTCAACGGAAGAAGGTCTATCTGACATATCTTCTCCCTTAGGAAGAAGATTCAAAACACCATGCATTCACCTCTACGTATGCTGTCATTCCATTACTTTGTCACTATTTCGTTTTCACAACCATCCATTTTTTGCCTGTTCTGAAAACGCCTCACTCAAATGTCGTGATTCCGAACGCTCTAAAATTACATGGTTAACAACTGCGCGGAGCATTTGATTACAAAACTCACCCCTCGGTTTGAAACGGACGACATAATTGCGCAAAAAAGCGGTGCGATTGACTTCGATTGCGCTCTGCATGAATTTCCGTAATTGCATGGTGCATGATTTAGATTGACAATACGCATTACTTAAATTGCATGACAGACAGCATGAGTTTCTTAACTTGCATAATGCACATTATGCATTGAAAAGCATGATAGTCTTAAATATACGGCGTGTATTGGTTTCATTGTATACTGCATAGTTAGCATGAATGCATGCATCATCAGAACTGCATGAGCATGTTTTGCATCAATGGCATGAATTACTTCTCTTTCATGATGCATGAAAGGACATGAATTGATCTTAATCCTTGTTTATTTTGCTTGCATTGATGGTGTACATTTTTTTAATTGCTTAATGCATGACTTGAGGCAACTTAAGTAGCACGATAGTTAATTTGCACTGTGCGAGGCATGAATTGCACGAATGATATTCAGAGCATAAATATTTTTTTAAACCATTGCACCAACTACATGAGTATAGAAATTGATTGCAGGAATTTCATGGGTTACATTTATGGATAGAATAAAATTGTACGACTTCTGGTAGTTTATGATAAGTGCATAATGTAGACATCCCGCTACAACGGACAGCCACTCCTAAACCTGGCAACCTACAGAGCTCAGTTCCAGTAAGTAAATTGCAAGTCACAGTTTCCTCTTCCTTTTTTTCGCAGTTTGATTCAGAAGATTTTATATTAATCATGTTTTACCATTAACGGTGTGAGAACGTTTTTCCTCTTCAGCACCGCAGCCAAAACTCCCAGATAACTACACTATCCAGACTTTTGTCAGAGCTTATGTAGGCGAGTATTTGGGTAAATACGCCATGTCTTTGTTTGTTTGTTTGCTTTTTTTCTATGATTTTGTTTTATTTGTTCGTCCCTTTCAGAATTTTATTGTGTGAGAGTTTTGAAATGTCCTTTCAGTACATGTTTTGTTGCCTTTTTTACGTCTTTAGGTGAACTAAATATTTCTTCATCCCAAGAGCTCCAACAGTCACAGCCTCAGCTGCTTAATAATCGCACTATTAAGAGCTTCGTGAAGGCTTATGTTGACGATCATATCAGTAAGTACTTGATATAGTGCCATCATAACTCTCATTCTGTTTCTTTTCATCAGTTATAACAGGATTAGCTTTAACGAAGGGCCAACGCACGAAACGTCAACTTTAGAAACTCTTTACGGCGGCCAATTTACGTTATCGACCCAGCTGATAAAATGAAATCCTCTTGTAATGCCCCATCGACGTAGCACCACATTTTGTTTAGAAAACTACCTCCCTTATCAGTTATAACAGCCCATTATTTCCAACGTCATATGATAGCTGATTTCATCTCTTCATTTGGAGATCATCAGTCGCAAACTTGTACGCCAGACAACCAATTGGCTTGAATACACAGATAAGTTGGGCGTTATACTCTTGTATTTGTATATTTATGACGGTGTCTCGTTTGTTTCTTTGAAGACCGCTCTGTATTTTACTATTTTTATATTTATCTCTTCCAAGGTGCACTCAACTTATCCTCCTCTTCACAAGCAGTGTCAGTAATGGCAGATAACCGAACGATGCAGAAATTCATCCAGAATTATGTGGATGGATATCTGGGTCAGTGTACTGTGTAATTACAAATGGAATTATGATTGTAGATATATGAAAATCGTATATTTGCAATGCTGTGAAGAAACGAATATAAGAGATCCTCGCAGCCATAAACACTACTGAACTAGTAGTTGAAATAAGACCTGAAAAAAATTCAGGCCCGTACGGGATTTGAACCCATGACCTCTGCGATACCGGTGCAGCGCTCTACCAACCGTGACCCAACTAAATGACCAGCTCCCAGTTGGCTTGTTAGCTCAGTTGGTTGATTCCGTAATTTGTTTCTGTCAGGAGTAAAAGCTAATGATAACCGAACTATTCAGGGCTTTGTCAAAGATTATGTTGATGAATATGTTGGTGAGTATTCTCTAGATGCCTTTATACGTGTGACTGTTTTACGCGCATCTGTATATAAAAAAAAGTCAGTCACAAATCACTTTAAGGCCTGGTTTTTACTGGCAACGCATGCACACTCCCCGCAAACATAAAGGGAAGCACACACGCAAGCATAACAGCTCTTGTTTCACTATAAAAACGGTCACGACTCAAGGTCAAGAAAAAGGAAAAATTATGATCCTTCTACTTGAGCTTGAGCTTGTGATTTCTGCCTCCGTTGAGGCCGTTTTAACGGTCAATTAGAGCTGTTACGCTTGCGTTTGTGCTTGCGGAAGCCAACAGCGATACATCACGTGCAATACTATACTTACTGTGCACCCAATTACCAAACACTTCATAGTCCCAGGGTGACGTTGTCGATCAATGTCAGTATCTGAGCAACTGCTTACCTACCCCTCCCCTAACCCAACAACAGTCGACTGATAACAACTTAGGGTTGAGGGAGGCGTAAGTGTGCAGTTGTTTGGTTATATCGCTATTTTTCCTTTCAAGGTGGACTTAATCTTACGGCATCGACGAGGCAACAGCAGCTTTCTGATAATAGCAGTGTGCAGGACATCGTGAAAGATTATGTGCGTTCGTTTACAGGTTTGTATTATGTCTCATGCAATGTATTCATGATTTTACATAGAACAGTTACACATGTTTCCTTAAAAGAGTGATTTCTTTCCTTTTCAACAGGTATTTTCTTTATTACGATTTTAA